GGGATTACAGGTGCACACTACCACGCCTGGCTAATTTTTGTATTTTTAAATAGTGACCGGGTTTCGCCATGTTAGTCAGGCTGGTCTTGAACCCCTGACCTCGTGATCTGCCTGCCTCAGCCTCCCAAAGTGCTGGGGTTATAGGTGAGAGCCACAGCTCCGGGCTTGTGTTCACTTATTTACATGTGGAGGTGAATTCTTATTTATTTCATGTTACAGACAGGGAATCAGATACCAGGAAAGGTGCAGGTCACAAAGCTTCGAAGTGCAGAGCTTGGATTTGAACCCAGGCTTTGGGCCAGCAGTGGCTGCAGTCGATTGTGTCATCTGCAGTCACAGTCTGTCTTCCTACATTTTTCAAAGCCTTGGTTTTCTTTTGTACACATAGCAATGTTCAGAACCTCCAATGCTATATTAAGCATTTCCGGTTTTTTTCGTAATCTCAAAGGGAATGCACCTAATTTTTTCATAAATATATATGCTATGGATTTTTGGCTCACTATCTTTACCATGTCATGAAATTGATTAAATTCTGTGTATGTCTTGAGCTGAATTCAGTTTAAATTAATATAAATTTTGTGAAGTCCACTAATGTGTTAAACACATTATATGTTTTCCGACACTGAAGAATTATTGCATTCCTAGAATCAATCTAAATTGGTCAAAATTAATTGTTTTTGTAGTGTCCTATTGGATTCAGTGACATGGGCAACATTAGTAATTCCCTTCTTTTGTACTATTCTTAGCTGGCTTTGGAAATATGAATGAACCAACCTCACAAAATGATCTCAAAAACTCTGTTTTGTTCTGTGTTTTAGAACCACTCATGTAAGAGGCATGATCTGCTCATGAAATTGTGGCAGGATGCCCCAACTGTAATATGATCAGGACAGGGCTCTTTGGAAGGTGATTCTTTGCTTCCCACGACAATTTCTTTGATATTCCCTACTCTATTTTAGTTTTCTATTTCTCCCTGTAGTTTTGACCTTTATATCTTTCAAGAAAAGTATCCATCTTATCTAAGTTTTCAAATTCCTAGGTATAGACTTGGTCATAAGATTTTGCATTTTAAAGGTGTGTACATATAGTCTTTTCCCCTTTTCATTTTGAATGTATTATATTTTCCTTAGGAGTCTTGCCAGAGGTTTCATTAATTTTTCGTTGCCTCAAAATTTAATTTTGTCTTTGCTATTTTTACATTTCATTGAATTCAGTCCTTGTGCTTATTGTTTACGTATATTTTCTTTTAGCTGTTTTTCTACTTTTCCATTCTCTTAATTTACATAATTAGCTCATTTGTTTTCAGTTAGTTTTCCCCTAACAAATTTGTTTAACAACTAGACTGACATTCTATGTACCATTTTGAACAAACTTATTTCATCTTTCTAGAAACATCTATTATGTTTTCAGTTATTCCTCTCCCTCTACTATTTCCCTGACTTTCTGGATGTCTAATTATCAAGATGTCAGATGTCTGTTTTTGACCTTTATTTCTCTTTGCTTTTCTTTTACATTTCTATTGTTTGTCATACTGTCCTCGGGGGAGTTTCTCAGTCTGGCTTTTTGTTTACTAATTACACTTCTGTTGCAAGAGTCCTCCTTCTTATGTCATCTATTATGTTTCTTACTCTAATCATAATCAAAGCTCAATATTTGTGCTTAGTTCATTGGCTTCTTGCTTTTGCTTCAAATTCCCAAATTCTCCTTTACTTCCCTATTTAAGCCCTTTTTGTGGTGAACACTGGGACATTGGGAAGAAACACACAAACCAATAGAATGTACATTGAATGATTATCACTGCACGCACCCATGTAAGTGGTACCTGGGTGAAGAAACAGACTGTTGCCAGCATCCCTGCGCCCCTCCTTAGGCCAGCAGGTAGTTTGTAAACTTTTTAGGAGTCGAGGACTGCTTATACCCATAATGCCTAGCATTGCTCCTGGTACACAGTAGGTCCTCCATAAACACTTCTTGTAGAAGTGTTTTGTTATTCATTCAACATGTACTTCCTAAATGTTTTCCACCTTCAAGGATTTCCAGTCTTCAGAAGTTAGTTGCAGCCATGTGATTTATGTTGGAAAATGAAATGTGAGAAGTGTGTTCTGTTTAGGAGGGATCATTGAGAGTCAGTGAATGATTTCTTAGGTTCCCTTCGCTCTGCTGGGGAGATTCTGGGAGCAGATGTGCAGGAGAAAGCCTGTCAGCCTGGCGTCCTAAGACGATGAGCAGAGCTTCCCAGCAGCCTTACTTTGGACATGCAGTGTGAGCTAAACCTAGATATCCAGGTATTTGTTATTTTGGCACAGCTGATCCTATTCTTACGGCATAAAAGGAATAGAAGGGAAGGTGCTCAACAAGACTTCGAATAAGCAGAAGGACAGGAGAACTAGGAAGATGTTTCCTCTTATAAGCCAAGCGAGCAGGAATTTCAGGGACACTTTACAATATGACATGCTCAAAAGGCGTCAACTGTGATTAAGTGTTGACTGGGCTGGTAGTGCGAGTGGTTATTAGAACCCCTTTAAAGAACATCTTCACACCCCATGCCCGACTCCCACCTCCTTCCACTTTCACCATCCCCTGGCCGGGCCTCACTGCCTCTTGACAAATGGTGACAAAGAGAGGGCAAAATGACTTCAGCTTAGGGTACCCCTTGATCACCAACTGGGGAAGTATCACCTGTTTGATGGACCACCTTCTCCTTACGGGACTGTGAAGAGTAAAGAATGAAGGGACCAGGTGAAAAGGGATCGGGGATACAACACTCAGCTGGGAGTCCTCAGCCCGCTGGGGTTGTTCTACTGCAGGCGTCAATCTTTCTGAGTCACAGGCCAATGCAAAAGGGTCACCAGCTTCAGGTTTCCTTTAAAGCTCTGGTCCCAGTTTTCCTCTGAATCTCTGCTCTTCAACCTTAATACTGACTTCAAGACTCCTCTACCTCCTGGCTGCCTTTGATCTTGCTGCACATAGCACTCAGTAAAGGACCTGACTCTTAGAAAACACTGCATAAATATTAAAAATTTGAAGTGTAGTGACAAGGTCGTCCCCAGTTTGGATGGTCTGTCTTCTCTGGTCTTCTCTGGGACCTCTCTCTGCAATGCATCTTTTCTTAGAAATCCCAGAGTTTAATAAATACCTGCATATGTCCGAGTGAGACACGTCCATTGCCTTCTTTCTGTGACTCCAGGGCTTTTCCTCATCTCTTCATACCCTCAGTTCCCTAGAAGCACATATCCTGTTCCTGTAACGTGGGTGCAGACACCTCAGCTTCTGATCCTGCCAAGTGTCAGTCCAGAGATTGTTCACTCCACTCTGGGTACTGCCCTGATCTGTCACACGGGTACAGGTGACAAGCATGAAGCAGAATGACTCTGATTGGATTTGGTTTGTAATATGGACTGATCATTGGCTCTGAGGGTAGGATTTATGTGCTTTGAACCTGAGGATTTCACAGTGATCTCAGTTTGAGGCCATTCTGCAATCCTTATGACCTCCTTCCATCATCGAATCCTGGATTAAAATCATATTAATTTTGCTGCATAGGTTTCTCACAAGTTGGCTGTGAAGCCAAAAGGGAAAATAAGGCAGATAAAAGGTCCTCATTTATTTAGTATATACTGTCCTTGTTACCTCATGTGACAGCTGAAATTACTAAACAAAAACAAGGCAGCAGCATTTTCCTATATAGTTTTGAGGAAATGAGGCTAATCAGGGATAAGGATGTTTTAAAAAGGAAAAATGATTGTGTCCTACTCCCTAGGTCAAAAGGATTATGTGAGACATGATGGGCTGTCCTTGTGGGTGGCTTCTCTTTCCCGACCCCCTCACTTAGTCCGTCCTCTCTGCGGACTCCAGCATATTTACTTATACCTGTGCCAGTGGCGCCCAAGTCTGTACCTTCAGCCCCACCTCTCTTGGAACTGGAGGAAGCCGGTCCCCAGATGCAGGGCATTATTTGCAAGGGGAGGAGGGCGAGAGGAGCAAAGTAGCTTGTGGGAATTGACCAGGGACAGGCGCCCAGGGACACAAAAGGCCCAGAAGACACTTATAAATAGCCCTGGAGAGGGAAGCCATCAACTGGATGTATCAGAGAGCTGCTGAGCGCTCATTCTGTGTATCAGGAGTGAAGAATCCATCCCCTACATGAAAGAGAAAGCTGACACCAAACATGTCCTCTACCTTGACTGAAAGGTGACAACATGAGACACAAAACACATAACAATGTTGGACTGTAAAAAAGAAAAAGAAAAAAAGACCAGTGTTTGAAAAAGAGTGCTACATGTATTGCTTTGCTTTTTCCCTAATGGAGAGGCATTTTTGTCAATATGAAAATTAAGACGGGAGGTCTAGGCCGGTGGATGAATGCAGACCTAGAGGATAAATGATGCCCACTTGATGCATTCAAAGGCCAAGCCGTATTTGGTTAAGGAGTATGTGTGATGACATGTAAAGTAAATGTGTAAGGTGCATGAGGTTATATTTATCATTTTAAATTCTGATGATCATTTAACTTCTTTATTTTTAATTTTTTTAGAGATGGGGTTTCGCCGTGTTGGCCAGGCTGCTTTTGAACCCCCAACCTCAGATGATCTGCCCCAATCACTTAATTTCTTAATGATCATGATAAAACATGGTCTCAGTCAGTTATACATTGAAAGTTCTGTGTGAATATGGGTCCTATCAGGCAGATCTGCAGTCTGCTCCCCGTTGAATAGACAAATGTCTAGACAAGTGAATAGTGGTCGGAGACCTGAATGGATGAAGGCACTAAACTTGATTTGGGGTCAGCTCACGGAAATACAGTAAATTCAGAAGAGTGCCATGTGTAACAGGCCACATTATGCAACAGTTAACCTATCCCCATTTTCATGGTTTTCTTCTTTCCTGTGTGTAAACCAAAAGGAACTTCTTCATTAACTCCTACTGTTTACTAAAACCCTCAGGCAAAAGTGATGAGAGATGATTTGGTGCCTATTTTTGAAAGAAAACAAACACTCACGTTGGGTTTTGATTGTTTATGGCGCTAAGAAGAACTCAGTGAGAGAAACCACGCATTGAATCAAAGAGCAGAATGACAGCAACTGGCTTCAGAGCAACTTCTTGGCAGCAGCGTCCTCTTGGGGAGCTGGGTGTCTGTCCCGGAAGCAGAGGCTGGGACTAACGAAATTAGTCTTTTCGGTGAGGTCAGGAACCCTGTGGGGGTGAAAGGCAAAATTATCCCAGGTTGCTGGCCTCCTTCAAGTCCCAGGAGAGAAAAATTACGGTGAGAGGCTGAGTCTCAGTCTGATACAGAACACAGTTGATCTCTGCTTCCTTCAGGAATGGAACCATGCAATGCTTTTTCCCCACTCACCTGAGGGCTGAGATTGAAAGAGGGGTTCAGGCCTGAGGTTCTCTTCCTAGAGGAGCCTCAGTGTCACAATGCACAGAAAAGACTCATATCCTCCTGCAACCCAGCCCGCAAGGAAACCAAAGCAGGAATATTACCTGTTTACGCAGATCCTCGTTGAACTGGAATGAAAGAGGAAAGGTTATGTTTCAGCCATTGAAACCACCTCAAATAATTAGAAAAACGTTTCTATCCCACCAACTTCCATTGCCCGTCACTCAACGGAGGCCCTGCAGGAGCCTGAGTACCTGGGACCTCATGCATCTGATTGCATTAAGACACCAGCCTGGGATACCTCTCTACCTATAGGTCATGTTTGTTCCCTGACTATCTGATTTCAGTGGCCTCTAGAGCTTTCTGACATTTCTTTTCTGACTGAACCCCTCACCATGGAATAATTGTGAATATGGCAGGGGAAGGTAAGTCCTGCTCACCTTGCAGGCTTTCTTACCTTTTTTGCTCCTCCTGTGCATGACGATGCCCACTCCACAGATGAGGAGCCCCAGCACGAAGCTCCCAGCTCCTGTCAGCATCTTACTCCGGGCAGAATCAGACTGTGCCTCTGGGAAGGACAGACCCAGGTTCAGTGTCACCTTCAACCAGGGGCACCCCTCCTCACGTCCTGTCTGAGATTCTGGAGACTGATGCAGAATATCGAGACAAGGACAGTGAGGGGGAAAAAACTTGCATAAGAGGAAATTCAGAAAGAGCCACCCTCCTATCTGGAACATAGGGTGTGACCTCAACAAGGTGGCAAATGCTGATTCTGGAAGTTGTCTCTCAAAATGACACAGTAGGCTAAAATGCTGAAGGAGGAGAACTGCTCCCATTGGTGAGGTCGGTTCAGGAAGGTGTCTGTGTCCTTAGATTCTCTGACAAGGGGGAGAACTATGAATCCTCAGGACCCCCTTGGCCAGGGTCAGGAAGTCTCCATTGCTCCCGCTTAAAGCTATGCTTGGGAGCTGGTGTAGAAGAAAGATGGGGTTGGATATGGCCCCAGGGTATACATGCAGAAGACAAGATGAGTGGACCCAGAGCCAGAGAGTCCCTTGCTTTTCAAAGGTGGGGACTAGAGAGTCATCAGAGAGTAACTCACTCCACTCCACGGTGACAGGACTGTCCAGACTGGGGTGCTCCACTTGGCAGGTGTAGACGTCTCCCTGCTGGGGCATCATTTCTAGCATCACCAGGATCTGGAAGGTCCAGTCTCCATTACGGATCAGGTTGGTGGACACAACCCCAGCTGTTTCCTCCTGTCCATTCAGGAACCATCGGACTTGAATGCTGCCCGGGTAGAAATCTGTCACGTGGCAGACAAGCAGGTTGTGGTGTTGCAAGGGCCCTTTCTTGGATGGGGAGACGTTCACCTTAGGCTGGACTAGGAATGGGGAAGAAAAATAATGAAATAGCATTTGAGGTCCCTTCCTTCCTTCCTTCCTTCCTTCCTTCCTTCCTTCCTTCCTTCCTTCCTTCCTTCCTTCCTTCCTTCCTTCCTTCTTCCCTCCCTCCCTCCCTTTCTCTTTCTTTTTTTTCTTTCTTTCTTCTTCAATCTTTCTCTTTTTCTTTCTTCTTTCAAAATCTCACTCTGTCACCAGTCTAGAGTGTGGCAGCACAATATTAGCTCTTTCCTCACTCACCTGAGGGCTGAGATCGAAAGAGGGGTTCAGGCCTTCTGCCTCCTGTGTTCAAGTAATTCTCCTGCCTCAGCCTTCCAAGTGGCTGGGATTATAGGTGCCTGCCACCACGCCCGGTGAACTTTTTGTATTTTTGGTAGTGACAGGGTTTCACCATGTTGGTCAGGCTGGTCTCCAACTCCTGACCTCAAGTGATCCACTCGGTCAGTCTCCCAAAGTGCCGGGATTACAGGGATGAGCCACTGCATCTGACCAGATTATTATTTGTTAGGCATGTTCGCTATGTAATTGATTCCTAGATATTGAAAATAGGCTAATGTGATTAGCCTAGTGGGTAAGGGTAGCACTGAAAAGACAGAAATAGACCTTCGCGTACAGCATGCATGATCTTGAATAAAATAATAAGTATATAGGGGAATGGCAGGGATACAGAGGTAGCACTCTAGCACATTCAGGAGAAATTTTAACTAAAAGCAATTTGGTCAAAGAATATTTAATCAACTGAGAAACTACCTATCTTTTCAAAGTTCTCTCTTGATACAGAGGATGCAAAATTTACCCAAATAATATCTTAAAATGAAGATATACAGACAATGGCATTATGGTGGCCTATTAATCCAATTACCTTATTTCATGAAAATACAAAGAAAATGAAGAGGGCTTGACATGTCTTATTCTGCAAATAACCTATGTATTTTTTGACGTCACCTACAAAAACTCAAAACCTTCATATTCACATAATATCCTGAGCCTCTACATGCTTGAGTAGTAGAAATCCCATCCTTTTCCAAGTTCCTTTTCTGTGCTGTGTCTTTAGGTCCCATGAAGGTCTCACAGATAACCAGGTGTTGTGACCCTCTGCATCTCTGTATTTGTGCTCGCAGGTAAATTTCCGCACTGCTGCTGACAACTTTTTTTTGGATCTCTGCCACCAGTACCTTTTCCTCCTCAGAAGGCAGAAAAGGCCAGGCATGGTGGTCCTGCCTGTAATCTTAGTACTCTGGGAGCCTGAGAGGTAAGAATCACTGGAGCCCAGAGATTTGAGACCAGTCTCTGCAACATAGTGAGATTCCCATCTCCAAAAAGAAACAGAAATTAGCTGGACATGGTGGTACATGTATCTGAAGTTCTAGCTACATGGGAGGCAGGAGGATCACTTGAGCCCAGGAGGTTGAGGCTGCAGTGAGCCATGATTACGTCACAGCCCTTAAGCCTCGGAGACAGAGCCAGAACTTGTCTCAAAGACAAACACAAGCACAAAAACAAAAAACCAACACAGAAAAGGGCCAACTGCTCCTAGAGAACAGCTCATTCAGAGGAATGTCTCAAATTAGTCATCTATGTCCCTACACTCAGTTCTTTCCTTTCTACTTCCTGGAGAACACAAATACCCTGACATGGGGCTGGGCCAGGTAAAAGTACTGTCTTGAACTGATCCACAACCCTTACTCCCTAGGGTATTTTGCCTTGTTTACAGACTGATCCACATTCCCAGCCTCTTCTTCCCTCAATGTGAGTTTATTTCAGGGACACCTGTGTCTCACTACTTCAATAACCTCTGTAAACTCAACATCCGCTAGACTACTCAACCTATGTCTAAATCTCAGTTGTGAATTATGTACAGTTTCTTCCCCATAGAGCTCCTGGGAACCATGAAATCAGGGGGAATACTTGGGTGTCTGTTTTAAGGTGCCAGAATATTCCATGAGAAGCGTCTTGCTCAATATTCTTTGACAGGAGCCAGTCAGCCTGCCGCACATCAGAGACCTCCAGGGGGCGCTGGAGCTAAGGCTTGATACCCAAAGGCCTCATTTCTGACCCAGTTCAAATACATTTCACCAGGGCAAGGATTCCTGTTTGTTTTAGTTGCCTTCTCTAATGCCCAGAAACATTTGCTCAATTACTTCCAGATTTGGGTAGGCATAAACACTGCAATTGTCACAACTCCTTTTCCTCCCCCTTCCCGCCTCTCCCCTGCCTCTGTGTGTTCCCTGTTCTAATTCATGCCTTCATTGCAATTTCTCTGACAATAATAGCAGTTTCCTGCCTCATCTCCCTGCCTCTGGTCCCTCCTCTACCCAACACCTTCTTTTTTCCTTTTTCAAAAATCTTCAGTGTTCTGACAATACTTATTTGGCTATATGGGAACGTCTAGGGAACTGATTACAAACAGAGATACCCAGACCTCCCCACCCAGGGAATCTGAGTCTCAGGGCAGTGAGTCTGGGCATCTGTGCATCACAGAGGATCTCCAGGAGTCTTCCGAGCAGTGAGGCTTGGGAACTGCTGGCCTAGAGGAGGAGCCCACACTCCTTAGTCTGGCATCAGGGCTCTCTGCAATCTGGCAGCTGATTACTGTGAAAGGAATGGCTGCCATGTCGCTGATTTGCGCCTCTACAAAGTCTTAGAAACAGTTTTTGCATTACTTTTATTTGCACACCTCTCTCAACTATTACCTCAGCAACTTTCCTAAACCCGTCACTCACCTCATCCCCACCCAGTGTGTCCACCTTCTCCCTCCTGGCAGGTGAACTTCCTTCCACTTTCCAGGAACAAGGGGATCAAAGGTGTGATCTCCCAGCTTCCTCCTCCTCCCTTCATTTTTTTCTTTTTCTAGGAGAAAGGTCTAGGGCTCACCCTCACACCCTGATGTTCCCCCAGGTCCCTCAGGTTGGTGCAGCAGGCTCCTCGCCCCACATGTTCACAGGCAGAAGCCAAAGCTCCAAGCCTCTCCTGTCCCATCCTTGAGAAATCTTACTGCCCACACCTCACCTCTCTCCATCTTTTACACTCAGACTTCCTGAAGGAAAAGACGAATGAGCTCAGACACTGCCCTGTGCCAGCCATGGGGAACCCAAGACAAGTAAAATCCATCTCAGCTCCGAGGAGGATGCTCCACACTCAGCCTCATTGAGTCTCTCTCATTCCAGTTTCCACCACTGCAGCCAACCTGCTCTCCAGAGGTCTTCCTGGTTTCCAAACCCACTTTCCATCTTCTGTTTTCTGACCTTCCTAAGTCACTGGCACCGCTGTCCACTGTGCTGCTGAGGCCCCTCCCCTCAGCTTCCAGGACTCTCCTTTGCTCTTCCCCCTGGGTCCCCTCTCCCTGTGTGGTCTCATGTAGCCCAGGCCCCTCCCTGGCTGCAGACCCCTCTCTCTATCTGCCCATCAGACCATCCATCTGGCCTCTCAAGCACCTCAAATCCAGTTGCCTCCCTGCAGGTTTCTTCTCTGCATGGCCTGATGTGCCATCTCCACCTCCATCTCCACACCGCAGCACTGCACACTGTCCTGTGGCCTCCTTTCCTCACCCCACATGCAGTCAGCTGCCAGGCCTAATAGCGTTCCGGAGGTCTCTCGGCCCTCATCCTCCTCACTCCATGCTCAGCCTGGTCCACGTCCCCCTGCTTGCTCCCCGACATGCTCCGAATGGGCTTCCCTGGTCAATCCTCAGCCCAAAGTCCCCTTCCCTCCTGGCACTAAGGTTCTTTAGGCCGGCCCAGCTGCCCTTGCTTTCTGGGCCCAGCTCCCACAGCTGCCCTAGGACCCCTGGCCCAAAGCCCCCACTAACCTTGGCGCTTCAGGATGAGGGGATCCTCTAATTCGTAGTTGTGTCTGCACACCCTCTCCACCTCGGCCCGCATCTGCTCCAGGATGTCCTTCTGGCTGTTCCAGTACTTGGCATCGGGACGTCCCAGCTCTGTCACCGCCTGGTACTCCCCCAGGTCGCTATCGAAACGCACGAACTCCTCCCGGTTGTAGAAGAGTCTGTCCAGGAGGTGCTGTGTCCCGTTAAACGCGTAGCATTCAAACAATCTCTGGTACACGTAATTCTCTGCAGGGAGGGGGCGGCCGTGAAGCGGGGGCGCACTCTCACCTAATCCTCTTTCCCCCCCGCCCCCCTCAATATTAACGATTCTTCCCAAATCTTCCCACTCAGGGCTGGATTTTAAAATAGCAGTTTTCCTAGTACGGAGTTCTGTGGTTGTAGGCAGGTCACAGAGCCTCTCCAGGCCTCAGTTTTCTCACCAGCACGAGCGGATTTACTGAAAAGAATGAGACTCACTGCTCTGGGGGGCTGAGTGATCACTAGGGAGGGGCCAGCACTGAGGGGAGGGCAGTCCCTTCTGCTGGCGGCTGGAGAAGGAGGGGGAGACGTTTCACTTGGGGTCGCCGGGAGAAACAGGAGCGGGGAGGAGTTGGAGACATGGAGGGCGGAGCTGCTCCCCCTATCCACCTCCCTGCCTGACATTTCCATCCTGATGTCAGTTCTGCCTCAAATGCCACCTCCTCCAGGAAGCCCTCCCTTCCTTCTTCCTCTTTACCACAACTAGGCGTTCTCCTCTGCCAATGTCTTCAGAATTCCTCAACTTGCTTCTGTTGTTTTGCATGTAGAAAATGTAGAAATATATTTCTTAAAACTTCTTCAACTTTGATATAAGAAACACTCTGGGCTGGGCGCTGTGGCTCATGATTGTAATCAATCCCAGCGCTTTGGGAGGCTGAGGCAGGCGGATCACAAGATCAAGAGATTGAGATCATCCTGGCCAACATGGTGAAACCCAGTCTCTATTAAATACAAAAAAAATAGCTGGGCATGGTGGTACGTGCCTGTAGTGCCAGCTACTCAGGAGGCTGAGGCAGTGGAATCACTTGAACAGAGAGAGAGAGAAAGGAAAAAGGAAGGAAGGAAGTCTGTATCCTGAAAGTTAATTTTCAAACATGGCTGCAGAAAGACTTGGTGTCAAACCATGTGGAAAATATCTTAATCAATGAAAATCACCACAACAACCAGAGACCTGCAGGGTGGAGTCCTTTGGGTTTAGAGGCGTTGATGCAATTTTTGGGGCAGTTTTTTACAGTTTTATTGAAACACAAAAGGGGGTACATGAGCTGTCTCCTCATTTTCTTCACTGTACACCCTGGCATTGGGGTTGGTGACTCTGATGGCTGCCAGGGTGGCTCCACAATGCTTTTTGGTTCTCGGAGGCACTTTTGAGTGATCTCGGCACAGTAAGATTTGGTGCACGTCAGCAGCACTTCCAGCTCCTTGATGTTGTGGACCAGAAACTTCCGGAAGCCACTGGGCAGCATGTGTTTTTGTTGTTGTTGTTGCTCCCATAAGCAATGTTGGGCATCAAGATCTGGCCCTTGAACCTTCTACAAACCCTGTTGTCAACACCTCTGGGTTTCCGCCAGTTGTGCTTAATTTTGATGTATCTGTCTGAGTGGTGCTGCATGAACTTCTTGGTCCTCTTTTTGAGGATCTCGGGCTTCATGAGGGAGGCCTTGATGCGGAGGAAAAGATGGCTGCCACTTCTGTTGACAGCGCTGAGGAAGAGAGCATTGACGTAATTTTTACACAAAGAACTTTGGCAGCCCTTCCCACATGCGGTTCTTCCTAGAGAGCACATGAGCAGTGTCTGGCAGGCGTGTGTCTACACAGAAGTATCAGTGACGCGGCACACGCTCCTTTCTGTTTGAGTCTTTCTGTTCTTGGGCACATCGGGGAAATGAAGGTGCTGTGATTGTCCCGCACATCTGTCTCATGCTTCGCAAATTAACTTCTCCAGTTTACTAACCTCACCCCTCACAGAAGCTGCACAGCTGGTGGCAGAGGATAGTAGAGAAGGGGTGCAGCTGGGCTCAGGGGCACCATGGAGTCCACCTTTCATGTCCATTGTTATTGCTAAGGCAGATCCCAGGTCTTCACTCAGATATCCAGATCTGTCTCTTCTCCTGGAGCCTTGGGCCCCAGCCCCCTAAACTCCCAGGGCCAGCACCCCCAGCACCTTGAGCCAGATTCCTCCTCCTCTGTCACCCACTCACCCCTCCCTGTTCAATTGCCCAGCTCTGAGTGTGGGCCTCCCATTTTTGTTTGTTAATCTTTGTTTTTGCATGTCATTCACCAGCAGGAGAACATTTTTCACTCAAGAATAAGAATTTTGAGAGAGAGATCCAAGATGGCTGACCACTAGCAGCTCAGGCGTGTAGCTCCCAGTGAAAGCGCAGAGAACGAGAGGATGCCACACTTTCAGACGAATCTTTCTTGCACAAGGACCAGGAGATTCCCAGTGGAGGAGCCTCACGGGTCACCAGCATGACTCTTGCAGCCGGCTTTGCGGTTTTGCTGGTGCCACGGCGCCGCGGTTCTTGGTGCAGAGTAAACGGGACTGGTTCCCCTTTTGGCCGACGTTTGGAGCGGATTGAAGAAAGGATTCAGGAGGGAAGCCAGACGGGAGACTTCCAGACAGAAAAGCACCAAGAACCTTGATGCCGCTCTTTTAGCTAGCACAGTGGGTTGCTCACATTTCGGCCCTGGGAATTAACAAGATGGATGTCCACTAAGAGACCTAAGTTGAAAGTTGGTAATTACAAAGACGACAGGTGGATAAATTTACAACGATGGGAAGAAACCAGTGTAAAAGGCTGAGAATCCTCAAAATCAGAATGCCTCTCCCTCTACAGAGGATCACAGTTCCTCATCAACAGAGGAACAAGGCCTGATGGAGAACGAGTGCATTCCATTAACAGAAATAGGCTTCAGAAGGTGGATAATAAGAAACTTCTGTGAGTTAAAAGAACATGTTCTAGCCTGATGTAAAGAAACTAAGAACTTTGAAAAAAGATTTGACGAAATCCTAACGAGAATAGACAATTTAGAGAGAAATATAAGTGAATTAATGGAACTGAAGAATACTATATGAGAACTCTGAGACGTATGCACAGGTTTTAACACTTGAATTGATCAAGCAGAAGAAAGGATATCAGAGGTTGAAGACCAACTTAATGAAATGAAACGAGAAGACAAGATTAGAGAAGAAAAAGTAAAAAGGAATGAGCAAAGTCTCCAAGAAATATGGGACTATGTGAAAAGACCTAATTTACATTTGATAGGTGTACCTGAATGTCATGAAGAGAATGAATCCAAGCTGGAAAGTATTCTTCAGGATATTATTCAGGAAAACTTCCCTAATCTAGTAAGGTGGGACAATACTCAACTCCAGGTAATACAGAGACCACCACAAAGATATTCCTCAAGTAGAGCAACCCCAAGACACATAATTGTTGGATTCACCAGGGTTGAAATAAAAGAGAAAATTCTAAGGGCAGCTAGAGAGAAAGGTCATGTTACCCATAAAGGGAAGCCTATCAGACTTACAGCAGATCTCTCAGCAGAAACCCTACAAGCTAGAAGAGAGTGGGGGTTAATATTCAATATCCTCAAAGAAAAGAATTTTCAACCCAGAATCTCATATCCAGCCAAACTAAGCTTTATAAATGAAGGAAAAATAAAATTTTTCACGAACAAGCAAGCACTCAGAGATTTCATCACCACCAGGCCTGCTTTACAAGAGTTTCTGAAAGAAGCACTACACACAGAAAGGAACAACCAGTATCAGTCATCCCAAAAACTTACCAAAAGATAAAGAGTATCTCCATAATGAAGTATTTATATCAACTAATGGGCAAAATAGCCAGCGAACATTAAATAACAATATTAAACTCACAAATATCAATATTAATCCTGAATTTAAATGGATTAAACTCCCCAATCAAAGACATAGACACGCAAACTGAATAAAAAGTCAAAACACATTGGCACTCTGTATCCAGATCCATCTCATAAGCAAGGACACACAAAGACTCAAAACAAAAGGTTGGAGGAAGACTCACCAATCAAATGGAGAGAAAAAAACAAAACAAACAAAAAAAACAGGAGATGTAACTTTCATTTCTGACAAAATAGACTACAATAGTAACAAAGACTAAAAGAAACAAAGAAGGGCATTATATAACGATAAAAGGATCAATGCAACAACAGGAGTCAATGATCATAAATATATATGTACCCAATATAGGGGCACCCAGATATGTAAGACAAGTTTTCAATGACTTATAAAGAGACTTGGACTCCCACACTAATAGTGGGAGACTTTGACACCACATTGTTAATATTCGACGGATCAATGAGATACAAAATTAACAGAGACATTTATGATTTGAACTCAGACCTGGAACAAGTAAACTCAGTGAATATTTATAGAATTCTTCACCCCAGGTCCTAAGAACATACATTGTTTTTTAGTATCACATTACACCTATTTTGAAAGTGACCACATAAATGGAAGCAAATCACTCTTCAGCATTTGCACAGCATTTCACAGATTTAAATGAAATGTTGGTTGGCTGTTTGTTATTTTCTTTCCTTATTCCTTCCTGTCTCCACTGTTAAACACAATCATCAGCATAAAAGAGGTTGTTAATACCTATTTCTAGATTGCATTCCAGCCTGGGCAATAGAGCAAGACTCCTGTTCTCTCTCCCACTTTTCTCTTTCTCTTTCTTACTTTCTTTAAAAAAAAAAAAAGAAAGAATAAGAATTTTGAAAGTTTTCTTTGCAACACTTGATTCTTTTTTCATTTACCCCATCTTAGGCATATTTTTAAAATTAACATTTAACTTTTTAAATGGATTTTTACTGCCAAGTAAACATAAGTGATAAGGGGTTTTGTGGTGTAATTTGAAACCTTTGGTTTTGAATATAAGAGACTTTATCCTGTTTGTGGAACCCTTAACAATTCAGCTGCCCAGAGCACAGTTTGAAAATTACTGATCTGAATAAATTCATCTCTCACTCAGAACAGAACATATTGAAAACCTCTAGCTTCCTCAGCCAAGCTTTTCCCCCCTAGCCTCTTTAAGGGCCTTTCTCTTGTGCCCTGTTTGAGGATGGGGATGTGTGTGGAGTTGGGGGAGCATGCAGGGCATGGTGGAATCGGCCCTGCCCACTCTACCTACTCCCCTATGGCTCCAGCTCTCCCTCCAGCAGGTTTCGATTGAACATTCATTCTATGCAGGGAGCTTAGTCCCTGTCACATGGCTCCACTGCCTCATCTCATTCCCACTACCAACCTCAACCCAGCTTTTGCCTCTCTACCTGTTCATTGCCCACCATCACATGCCCCCCTCTGCTCTCTTCTTCCCCACCTCTGGGTTTCCTTGGTGGCTCCCAACACTGCCCCTAATCCCACACAACAGCTCTGCCTATGGGATGAGGGTACTGCGTCCCCTCACCTGCTGGGGACTGTTCAGTGTCACCAGCGCTGCTCTAGCTCCCTCTCCCCAGCCTCACCCCTCTCCAGTTCCCGGGGGTGAGTCGTCGTCGGCTGGTTAGTTCTTAGCACTCTCTGTGACTACAAGTGCAAATTCTCCACCCCTTCCCAGACAATGAACCCAAGGTCATAGATAAGAGGCTTTAGGGATTGAGGGGCTGTCCTCAGGAGATTCCAACATTGTTACCCTGAAAAACGACAAGGTAACATGATGTCAGTATCTTCTAGGTGTGTCCTAGGAGGGGTGTGGAGGGATCTAGGAGGAAAGATCTAAGCAGGAAAGGTGGAAGTCAGTGGAAAACTAAGTACCAAGTTTGCAGTCCTTCCTTTCAGGGTGTTGGTGTAAATTTGGACTAGAAAGATGAGTATCCTGAGAGGAAAAACAATAGATCATAGGAGCCATAATATTATACCAGCCACAGGAAGGCAGTGGGAAGAAGAGGTTCTTCACTTGGCTACTGCTTCCTTGGCTGATAACCTACACTCAATCCCTTTCATGCACTCACACAACCTCATCTCTACAAGTCTCTACAAGTCTCAACCCACCCTAATACTCTAACCAAGTTCTGGGGAGGCTGGGAGAAGTACCTTTAATGAGAGTGCCTTCAGAGGCTAGAACCTGTCCCCCTTCCTCCTTCCCTTCCTCCCTCCCTCCCGTCTTGCCTTCATTGTCCAAGATGCATGGGCTTCTGCTCCACCTTGGAGAATGAGAGGCATTATCCATAAACACTGAATCCTCAGTGATCTTCAGAGCCTGGACGCTCCAGCTAAGGGGTCTCTGCCTGAGACCCTTCAGTCTGGAATGTGGATTGAGCACTCCTAGGAGCTTGCACTTGCCAACCTCTCTCTCTGCAAACCTTGTCCATCCAAGTTTATCCTGGACCCCTTGACCCCATTCCCCAAAGACAAGCATACTGACCACCAGGCACTTCTCTCTATTTGCTGTACCCTTGTCCTTGGAGAGAGAGTAGGGCTGTAGGGTAGCAATCTATCCTACAGGGGATGAGCCTCATTCTCTAGCTGGGAAGGGAGGACACTGGCTTAGGGCAGGACCCCCCGCAGCCTGTCTCAGAGTCTGGTCCCTAAAGTCCCCTAGGAATTGTTCCCTGAGCCTGACCCTCTAGGAATAGCAGCTCTGCTCTTACCTGTAGTGGCCCTGCCCTGGACCACAGCTGTGAGTAGCGCCATCAGTAACGCCGTCAGAGCCACTGTCCGGGGGAGGGCAGAAACCTGCAGAACCATCACGGAGCTGGAAAAAGGTGGCAAAATGAAAAGAGCTGCAGCCAGGAAAAGAAGGACTCACTAAGGGGAGCTCGTGTCTGAAATATTAGAGACCGTGAACCCAAGTAGTCTTCTGTGACCCTGGGATTGGACAGAGTCTGAGAAAAGAGCCAATGGACACTGAGCTTTGCATGAGTCATCACTCACTGGGCAGACGGTTAGTGTGAAAGGTCTGAAAATACAAGGCCTGTGATGCACTTAAGATGACAGATGGACGACAGTGATACTCACTTTAAGCAGTCGGATAGGTCATGAGGTTTGGGGAGATGATGTGTTTCCTTTGCTCTGAAGGTGATCTCAGATATTCTGCTGGCCCATCTATGGGGATTATAATTTCCCCAATTCTGCCACACCTCACAAACCCACAGGACATGGTCTGTTGTGGAAGAAGTGCTGTCTCCGTGTGTAAAAAGTCACTCCATGGCATGATTTAGAGAAATTAGAGTACCCACCCCAAAACTCAAATGGGGCCTGGAGTCTGTCTGTCTTGTCTTTGTCCAAGGGTGTGTTTAAAATTAGCACCCATTCATATTTACTTTCTCCCAAAGGTCTGTAAGTCCTGAGATGGGCAGGGGATACCAGGTTCTTCCATAGGGCTGTCAACAGGGTCAGCAGGGCTCAGTCCAGGAACCTTACACCGGGAGCATGGACACACCACCTACCCTACCACGTAAGTAAGCAGCTTTAAGGAAGCTGCCTCTTTTGGATTTCAATTCCTTGTCTTCAATACGGGAATGACACAACCTGCCTTATAGCAAAGCTCTTAACATCAAATGAGATCAATAGGTCTGAAATTGCTTTGGAAAAAGAAAGTCCACAGAGAATATAATTTGACCAATAAGTAAAGAAGAAAGTGAAAAAAAAAAAAAACCACATCAAAGGCCCCACTTCCTTCAAAGCATCTGATTCTATTTTGTTTATAGTGAATATTTTTACAAACTTTCAAAGAACATTATTTCTTAGACACCTATAAATGTGATCCTGTTGGACCACCAATTCTGATTTCAAAGAAAAATCAATTGGCATCATTTCTTTAAGTAGATATTAAAATGTAAATAGAAGGCTAGCATGTAAAATGCAAGAGAAGAAAACTACTATGTAATAGAAGGTGTCCAGTAGGATTGAGGGGCCAGGAGATCATGCAGGAAAGCTCAGTTTTCTTAGTAACTGCCTGGGTTGGACTCTTCTTCTTGTCACTTTCCTGCCATAGATAATTAGACAATACCTAACTCCTCAATGTCTCAGGTAATTTATGTTTAGAGTGGACATTAATAATACCTCCCTCAGGCTTAATGTGAGGATTAAATGAGGTGATGCTTGCAAAGCGCTAATAACAGCGTCTCTTGTGTACTAATCTGTTAGTAATTATTATTTATGGAAGATAAGGTTACCACAAACAAGAAAAATAGCAATGTAATATATGTACTTCTTCATTACATTAAATATTAAATGTTTTGTGACCTTATCTATGAGAATCAAAGAAATAGCTCAAAATTGGAATATTTAAAATGAGACTAGAAAAGTAATTTCTTAAATATGGTAAGAGAATATACAATTTAAAAATGAACATTACCTGTAACAGAAAAGCATTAGAGAAACTCTTCTTAAAACCAAGATCAAAATATGGGTGCACATTGTTACCATAGGTAATGCTGTCCTGGGTATTTTTATGCAAAAATGAAATAACTTGACTAGTAATTTAAATATTAAAATGTTATTACAGTTTAAATACCAGGAAAAGACAAATACTAAGAAATCTGAATAAAAATTATCTAAAAATTTCACTAACAAAGGTAACCAGGAACAGATAAATACTTAAGGATCAACTTTATTCAAGTTAATTAAAACCTGTAAATAGAAATTATAGCACTTCTGCAGAAGTGATTAAATAAAGAGGAGATGTCTCAGGGAAGTGGGCCTGAAAGAAAGATTAATGATATATTTTATTAGATAGCCCATTCATTCTTAATTATCAGCAGAATATTTTTGTAAACTTGACAGGGTAGCATAAAACATTATTTAAAATATGGTGACCCAAAAACATCAAAGATCATCTGACTGTCTGGGATGGGGTTGGCGTTTGGGAGAAGGAACATAATGGAAAACATTTGCCATCAGAAGAAAGTGTGACTTATCTTTTTAGGTCTCTTTCTCTAACTCTGAAAGTGAACTGTGAACTGGAGCACTCTTGACCACACTGGTACCTAAAATTCTCCCATCTCTTCCTGGCACCTTCTAGCATCCTCTTTACTCAGCAACAGAGAATGTCAGCTCTATGATTTCTCTGATTGGTGAAGCCCAGCCATGCTGACTCCTCTCCACCCATTTTGATCATTTCCAGGTGCTAGACAGCCACAGTTTCAGAGTCTCATCTGCCTCCACTGATCACTGTTCCTGTGCTCACAGTCATCAATTATAGACCCACAACATGCATCCTGAAGACAGAGTCTTCCAGATCAGAGCTGTGATCTTGAGAGCCTTCTCCTTGGCTTTCCTGCTGAGTCTCCGAGGGGCTGGGGCCATCAAAGGTGAGTGCCCAGGAGGACGCAAGAGCTTTGGGGTGAATGGGGGGAGGCTCACATCAACTGTTGCTTCAGGAATCAGAGATTTTAGAGGCTCATTGATCTATCTGGCCTTCACGATAGTCTGTGTTTCTTCTGGCCCTCATAATCATGACAGCAATAGCAGCCAGAATTTACAGGACACCTGCATAGTTTCTTTCCCCATTTACATCTTACAGGAAGCTTCAATGAAGAAACTATTCCCTTCATTTCGAAATTATTCTCTTTATTTAGAAATTATTTTGAAAAAAACTGAAGCTCAAAAAGATGAATACGTTTTCCAAGGTTACACAGCAGATGAACAAGCCAAGTTTGAATTCCAGACCCAACTCTGAGGGTCATACACTGCCTTTCCCAGATCCCCGCAGGGCCCCCGCACCCCTTCTATCTATCCAGGATCCCCAGCCTCTGCCTTTTGTGGCTGCTTCACAGGAACTCCAAGCTATGAGCTCTGCATTAGGAGACAAAGTGCTAAGAGTGTTCCTGTATCCTCCCTCTCTCCTAAGACCCTAGTAGGGTCCGTCCTGGGTCTTTGTGGGTGGTCACAAGCTTTCCTCTCTCAAAACAGCAGTGTTACATGGTCTTGTTAGCCTTGTGATTCAGGTCCTGAGACATCCGCGACTACAGGGGAGGCCTAGACTTGGGATGGCCACAAGGACTCAGGCAGAGGTGAACCGTGGTGGATTAATGCTCTTTCTTCCTGTAGCTGACATCAGGGAGAACGGCATCAATCCTGTGCATGATGCTGTCGTCCCAAAATCTAGTGATGGGGAAGGTTAGAATCCATGACATGCAAGATGCACACTGTCCTCAGACAGTTTTATTGAAGATGTGTAGAATAAAGACGTGAGGCTGGGGAGAACCAGAAGTATCTATTGTACTGTTCATGGTCACCTGGGTTATTTCTAATGTTATGTCCTAATAAACACCACAATGGATGTATCGTCATAGATCTGAATATTTTTTAGAATTCTTGGTAGAAATTTCTATTTAGCTCAGCTGTCTCTTAACAACCCCTGAAGGGAAGTCTCTTCAGGGCTTCCCTTCCCAGTGGTTCCTTGTCTCTTAACATTTAAACATGTCCTTTACCTTAAAAACATAAGCACAAACCAACTAATATAAAACAATCTTGCCTTCAGTCTGCTTCCCACCCTAGAGACACTCTCTCTGTGTCCTCACACTTGGAGCTAAGCTTCTGACTTGTCTCCAGTATATCCCTGAGGATCCTCTCATCTTGGCCATCAGGAACCTCTGCGGAAGGTCAAATCCAGTGGGTTCTTCTCAGTGCCTCTGACTTGAATTACTAATAACATTTGCACTGTAATCCACTTCTTTCTGATGAACTACCCTGTCCTTATTTTTGTCCTATTTCTCTGGTTTCTCCTTATCATCCTTTAAATCACCTCTTAATTATCATGTTCTCTCATCATACTCTGAGATCTCTGCAATTCTGATTTTTGCCACTCTTCCTGGAAAATCTCATCTAACCTGCACCTACCCATAATGACTCTCAGTTCTCTGGCCTAAACTCTCCTGAGACCACCCATCATACAGAAATGTCTAGGTATTATTTCTCCTTAAATGACTTTCAGATCTCCTAAGTGCAATGGCCCCACAGTGAACTCAATCTCTTCTCCCAGTCAGTCAGGCCGTCTTCCCCGTGAGAAGTAACTTTTGCCCTGTTTTCTGAATGCCTACATTGAAGCCATCGGTTCCCCAGGAAGCCTTCTCTGACGAGTTGTTTGATCGCATCTTGTGTATGCCCACAAATCTGCACATATCCTTCAGAACCTGCTGTTGTCTTGTCACTTGTGTTTCCTTCTGTGAATTGTAAGCGTCTGCAGAACAGGACCTATATATTATTTTTATTTGAATATTTAGCATCTAACAGCATTTGACATATAGTCTTTTAATACATATTTTTGTCTGAATGGAATTGATATTTTGAAGTAAAATAATCTGTTTCACATCTAGATGATCTTTCGATCGCAGAACTTGTGGAAGTGTTTTTTAAAAATCATTTTAAAAAGTACAAGGGGCATTCACATCTTAAGATGAGTTCCCAATTATTGCTAGAGGATTTTGTGTCTTTTTATTTTACCCTCTTTTCCTGGTGAGTCCTTTGAGTCCTTTAAACTGAGGCGGAAGCGAAGTTTGCTTGTGAAATACCTATAGGATTTGATTTATTTTGTTTAGTTTGAAATAGCACTCTGTGCTTGGCCACTTACAGTGACAGGGAGTCATTCTCAGTGAAAAATAAGATACAGGTCCTATATCCTCCAGACACTTAGGAGGAGTCGTTCTCCCTGTCACTGTAAGTGGCCAAGCACAGACTGGGTCCCCACATGTCAGGTCTGCAAGCTCACAGGGAAATCTGTGAGTTGGGAGGTGAGAGCAGATGAGCCGTGTAGTCCTTTCCCGCTCATGCACTTATCATGCTAAACCCAGACTCTCACATACACATTCATTGTTTTCTTTAATGATGAGAGTTGCTTTTATCCTCTTACCTTTGCTACTTCTTGCAAACTAATAAAGGCTAAGAAACAAAATAAATTAAATCCTACATGTATTTCAAACTCAGCAATAATTTCCAGTTGGCCTCTAAAACAAAAATCAAAATATAAATGTAAGAAAAGTTTGGAATGCTTAGTGCCTGGGTGATGAAATAATCTGTACACTAAACCCCCGTGTCGTGAGTTTACCTCCATAACAAACCTGCGCATGTACTTTGTATCCCTGAAAGTAAAATAAATGTTAAAATATTTTTTAAAAGGAAGCAAAAGATTGGAACAAATGCCAAGAAAACTGTACTGCACTTTTGAATTTATATCCCCCAAATGAAAAATACTATCAACAAAGCTATACATTCTATAGTTTCATATTCATAAGCTAAGACTAAAATTGGAAGAAGAATATTTTCTTCATCCTCTCAATTTTCTGTTTTTTCTCCATTTTCTGTAATAAGAAGAACAAAATGTCCACTCCTCCACCCCCATGACTCTAAAAACAATTTTACATCTGTGTCCCAGAAGAATTAAGACCTTAAGGGGAGAGAAAATCTGTGTACTAGCTCTATCAGTAGCCGTATGACCTTAGCAAGTTATTAATATTTAACCTCTCTGCATTTCCTGATCCGTAAAATAGTATGCTATGTATTTGCTTCATATTCTTATTGCGACAATTCAGTGAGTGAACTACGTAAAGTATTTAGAAGGATGCTTGGCACAAGTAAGCGCTTCACAAACGTTAGCTGTCGTTGTTACCATCACTGTTGTGTAGGGTCGGGATGCCCAGACTTTCAAAGACCAGGAGGCAGCTTGACTTATCAATGATAAGCCTTTTATTTTGTTCTTCGCGCCTTTCTTTTTATAACGGCTCATCTGCTCTGTATTATTTCCTTTATGGTGTTGCTCCTGCTTCCCCATATGCCCTTCCTTTGACCTCTTACCTTCTTCTTCTTTATATTCATAAGTTTTTATCATTCTCTAGCCTTCACCACTTGCATATTCATACTGACATTTTGTCATGTTTTCTCTACTTTCTTTATGCAGCGGACCATGTGTCAACTTTTGTCATGTTTGTACAGACGCAGAGACCAACAGGGGAGTTTGTGTTTGAGTTTGATAAGGATGAGATATTCCATGTGGATCTGGACAAGAAGGAGACCGTGTGGCGTCTGGAGGAGTTTGGCCGAGCCTATTCCTTTGAGGTTCAGGGCGGGCTGGCTAACATTGCTGCATTGAACTACAACTTGAATATCATGATCCAGCGTTCCAACCACACTCAGGCCACCAATGGTACTGCCTATCTTTGCCTCTTCCTCTGTAGCCCAACTGTACGGAATGAGAGAGCCTCTCTGCCACCCTCAGACTAGGAAGCCTAAGTGTCCCCTGCTGTGTGATCCTTTTTTTCCCCTAGTGGCCATGGGCTGATCCCACTACAGCAAGGGCTTGTGTCCTCCCTTCTCAGGAGACAGAAAGGTGAGCAGAGTGAGGTCGGTCAGTGGTGTGATACCCACTCTGTGATACAGGAACCCAGAGCTGCCATAAAATCTAAGGCTGAGGTAGACTAACCCCCAGAGTTGGAGCTCTTGTGATTCATTCCAGAACAGGGGCCTAACCTGGTCCTGTCTCCTCCCAGATCCCCCTGAAGTGACCGTGTTTCCCAAGGAGCCTGTGGAGCTGGGCCAGCCCAATACCCTCATCTGCCACATTGACAAGTTCTTCCCACCGGTGCTCAATGTCACTTGGCTGTGCAATGGGCAGCCGGTCACTGAGGGTGTCGCTGAGAGCGTCTTCCTGCCTGGAACAGATGGCAGCTTCCACAAGTTCCATTACCTGACCTTTGTGCCCTCAGCTGAGGATGTCTATGACTGCAGGGTGGAGCACTGGGGCTTGGACCAGCCACTCCTCAAACACTGGGGTATGCAGCTCCTTTTCTCTCCGTAATCTCCTGGTATCCTCTACTCCAAGGACCTGGTGTCCTCTGCACCAGCTTTCCCCACTGGACAAGTCTCAATCCTCTCCTTGTGCTAACACTCAATTAACTGGATTAACTGTCCATAAGCTTCAATTCCCACACCCATCCCAGACCAGGACCACCCTCACTGCACCTCCTGACCCTATCTCTTCATTCTTCCCCCAGAGGCCCAAGAGCCAATCCAGATGCCTGAGACGACGGAGACTGTGCTCTGTGCCCTGGGCCTTGTCTTGGGGCTAGTGGGCATCATCATGGGCACCATCCTCATCATAAAATCTCTGCGTTCTGGCCGTGACCCCCGGGCCCAGGGGCCCCTGTGAAATACTGTAAAGGTTGAAATGTAAAGAGGAGGCCATAGAATCTGTAGAATGTAAGGAAGAGAGGAAGAATTCAATCTGATAAGTGTTCTTTGATCTCCTAATGGGTTAAAAGCATTCAGCCACATAAAAACAGCTAAAAACAACAACATTGATAACGGAGTAGTTAATATGCTCAGGTGCTATTCTGAGCATTTACATTTATTAACTCACTTTATTCTCACAAACAGTCTTTCAGGTGGGTACTATTATTTTCGCCATTTCACATGAGAGATACTTATCTTTTCACATATACAGAGACCTTAAGCACCTTGATCAAGTTCCCACAACTATGAAGTAGTTCCATCTGGATCCAAGACTGTTTATCCATTGTCCTATACACACTATTTTGTGAAGAAAAAGACCAAGTTCAGATTTTCCAAGGGTCCATTGTTTAGTAATGGAGCCAGATCTATATTTCTACACATAATGACAACACAGTGAGATGGGTGCCTGTAACTATTTACTGTCTCTCCTTGGACTCATTCCATAGCAATGCTCACACAAAAGAATGCCCCTCCTGAGATCTTATAGTTTTTTATTGATCATAACCCTCATCATGTTATATGTTTTGAGAATTCTCTTAGCATTAGTTAACTTCCATGCAGATGACCACATCTAATTCATCATTATTATTGCTATTCATGCTGGACCTCAGGTACAAACGGTTAAGAACTTCTCAGTTCATTATACTATCATCATTGGTGCCTCCGAGCTCTCTCTCTTGATTTATTTGGTCCCTTTTATCCTCAGTCCTTACTCCCATATCTAACCTCCTATCCCTACCTCATGGGTAAACATTTTAATGAATTTGATTTTTTATTTGCATAGATCCTGTATAATATGTAGTGCCCAGTGTACATGTATATCTAATTAACCAAAATGGCATTAAATTATAGATCTAATTTTGTACATTTAGTTTGTTTCTTCCAAATCTTCCATAGTATTCTACTCTCTACATCCATGCATTAGTTCATTTTGCATTGCTATAAAGGAATATCTGAAGTTACCTAATTTATGAATAAAAGAGCTTTAACTGGCTCACAGATCTGCAGGCTATATAAGAAGCATGGCACCGGCATCTGCTTCTGTTGGGGGATTCAGGAAGCTTTTACCCATGGTGGAAGGCAAGGGGAGCTGGTGCATCTCATGGTCAGAGAGGGAGAAAGAGAGAGAGAAAGAGGTGCCAGGCTCTTTTTAACAACCAGGTTTCATGTGTACTAATGGAGTGAGAACTCACTCATTACCTTGGGGAGGGCACCAAGCCATTCATGAGGGAGGCTCCTCCATGATTCAAATACCTTGCACCTGGCCATCAATTGGGGATCAATTTTCAACATGAGACTTGGAAGGAACAAATATCTAAATCATGTCAGTCCACATATCTATATTGCTCCTGGGATACCTGGATCATCCCTGGTTCTCTACTGTTGAAAGCAATCCTTATATCTCACGTGGACCTGCATATGCATGTGGACCTGACCTGCACACCTGAAATGTATGTATCCTAGAAAGGGGTTGCAGTATTGCTGGAGATGCAGTTCCTTCATTTGACTAAGTACTGCTCGTGTGCTCATCTGAATGGCTGTACTCATCTGTACTTCCTTTGTCAGTACCTGAAACGTCCTGCAACTCCTAAATGCACATCAACATTGGACATCATTCAGTTTTCTAACTTTTACCAATTTCATGTGCATAAAGAAATATACTGTTTTATTTTGCATTTCTTTAATTCATTGTTATTGGGGCTATAATTGGGACTGATTAGTCACTTGGGTGTTTCTTTTCTATAAATTGCCTGTTCACATTCTTTGTCTATTTTTGTACTGTGGGCTTCTATCTCTTTCCTTCTTCCCTTCCTTCCTTCCTTCCTTCCTTCCTTCCTTCCTTCCTTCCTTCCTTCCTTCCTTCCTTCCTTCCTTCCTCTCTTTCTTTGTTTTTGACAGAGTTTCATTCTTGTTGCCCGGGCTGGAATGCAATTGTGCTATCTCATTGTACCACAACCTCTGCCTCCTGGGTTCAAGCGATTCTCCTGCCTCAGCCTCCCTGGTAGCTGAGATTACAGGCATGTGCTACTATGCCTGGCTAATTTTGTATTTTTAGTAGCGACAGGGTTTCTCCATGTTGGTCAGTCTGTCTTGAACTCCCGAGCTCAGGTGATCTGCCCACCTCTGCCTCCCAAAGTGCTAGGATTATGGGCATGAGCCACTGCGCCTGGCCGCTTCTATCTTTTTCTTATCAATTTGCAGGAGAGCCTTAGTCCCGCAAGTAGTCCCTTGTCAATTTTAGGCATTACAAATGTCTTCCCCTAATCTGACTTTTGGCAACTTTCTCCTTGGTTTCTGTTATTGAAGAGAAATCCTTAATATTTTGTAATGAAGTTCATCGACTCTTTTTTTTTTTTTGTGCGTCTTTTGTAAAAGAAGTCTTCCCTATATTGAGATATGAAAGATATTCTTAAAATATCTCTTATAGTTTTAAATTTCATATTTACAACTTCAATTTATCTGGGATTCACCTTTGTGTTTGATGGGGATCATGTTTTATTTGTCTCTATATAATGGGCCAGTGTTCCCACAACTACTAAATAGCTCACCTTTTCCCCGGAAGTTTGTGGTGTCTCCTTTGCTAAACTGAAAGCCCCCATTACAGACGGGCTGTATCTGAGTTTCTTCTTGTTCCACTGTTCTGTTGTCTCTTCTTGGGCCAGTGTCCTAGTGTTTTGATTACTGTAACATTGTAGTGTGTGTTAGTATTCAGTAGGACAAATTCTTCTTTATTTTTCTTTGTTCACATACATTTATAATTGTATGTATGACCTATAACAGAATGAAGTGAATGGAGATGTTCAGATGTTAAGAGGAAGTATGGAAAGGAGGTCTGGGATTAGGGTGATGTAAGGGATGCATTTGGCTTAGGTGCAAAATTTGGAGGATACCAAAAGAACTTAGTAATAAAAGTAAATCATATTTTAATGAAATAGCTTGAAAAAGCAAAATTAATGCAAAGATACATGATTAACAAAATTTTAGAAGAAGAGTATTTAATGAAAATGGAGAAGAAGCAGAGAGGTAGAAGAATTAGGAGAATATGTTGTCACATAAGCAAGGAATTAAGGTGAGGAAGGAGACTCAGGCATCTGAGAGCAACTTCCCCTTTGACTATCACACTGCATTTCAATAGAAGAAAAGGCTGACCTACTGGCGCCTCCTGTTTCACCTTCCTGTAGGTGGCATGCTTGGTCTTGGGGAAACTCTCCAGAAGACGCTGTTTTTACTTAAAACAAGATAGCATGTAATCCCAGCACTTTGGGAGGCCGAGGCGGGTGGATCATGAGGTCAAGAGATCGAGACCATCCTGGCCAACATGGTGAAACCCTGTCTCTACTAAAGATACAAAAAGTTAGCTGGGCATGGTGGCGCGTGCCTCTAATCCCGGCTACTCAGGAGGCTGAGGCAGGAGAATTGCCTGAACTCAGGAGGCTGAGGCAGGAGAATTGCCTGAACCCAGGAGGCAGAGGTTGCGTTGAGCTGAGATCGTGCCTTTGCACTCCAGCCTGGGTAACAAGAGTGAAACTCCGTCTCAAAAAAAAAAAAAAAAAATTATAAAATTGAATTTAACAATATATTAAAAATGATGATAAATTCTCGGGTATTGTTATCAGTGAAAGAAAAAGAAAAAAAAAAAAAGGATGCTATAACATGATCTTAAGAGTTTATGCCAGGAATGGAAGGTATGTTTAACATTAAAAAAAAAAATCAATGTGATTCCACGTCTTAACAAAATACAAAAGAAAAATTATATAATCATGTAAATGGATGCAGAAAAAGGCATTTGCTCATTCATGATTTTAAAAAAAGTCCTTGAAAGCTAGAAATAAAAGGAAATTACTTCACCTGATAAGGTGTGTCCATGAAAACCAGCACTGACATTTTCAATTTTGGGTGGGGGGTGGGGCATTTCACTTCCTCCATAAAACTATTAAATTATCTAAATATGAATGTAGAATTCAGTGAATAAATGTTCCCTACCAGAAAAAAATACAAAATGCTGGATATTGTGTGAACAGTTTCTATGCATTCTATATAAATGAAATGATTAACTATATAATACATTTATTGAAAAAAGAAGGTGGCCTTCTTAAACTGGACCCCAGACGAGCATGCTGAACACAAAGCATGGTTTGCAGAGAAGAGATGGTTCTAACAGAAAAATTAAGGACTGAGTTTGAGGTAATGCTGGAACATCCAGATGGATGCACCCAGCTAAGATGAAGCCAGAGACTGTACACTGCTGGGTTTTCTGTGGTGTCATGATTGATGCCATGAGGGTGACTGAGATCTGCAGGAGAATGAGTGTAGAGAGATGAGCAAAGGGCTGAAGATTATGCCTTAATTATGTTTCCATTTAAAAATGGGAGATGGAAGAGGAGTTCACAAAGGAGTGTGCATTATTTCTTGCCTCAGCATCTTGGGGTAAATAGGGTAAGGAAGAGAGGGCTATGGGAAGAGAGTGACCTATCTCTCCATCTCATTTATAACTATCTGGTTGGCTACCAATTGGATAAGATCCAATAGTTTGATATACCTGTCAAATGATTTAATATAATATTAGGCTGCATTAATATCAGCACTATTTCTGTAATAAGGAAGGTGATAGATTTCCCATTCCCTGCTTGATCTTCAGCTGAAGATCCGTACACTCAGATTTTTTTTAAGAAAAAACTCTACCACCTGGACAGTAGTATAAAGGAAAATGGAAAACAAAAGTAAAATAGTTCAAAGGGTTGTGATTTTGGAGCCATTAAAGAATCTGGACAAGTTTGGTCTGGTGAAGTGAAAAAAGCAGAACCAGGATTGGTTTAAGAATCTCTGACTCATGACCATACTTCAGTTATGGAGATCCTAGGAAGTCAGGCAGGGGTGTGCTGCTTTACTTATGAGGAAAGTGTACTCATGTGTCTCTAAATACATAAAATGCATGATTGATTCCTTTTTTATTGTCTTGGGTAGGATGATCTGCTCCTAGTAAAGTGCGGATGGGGCTTATGTAAGACCTGAGCACTTGTGTATGACAGAAGAACAGAAGGTACTTCCTTAGGGTGACAGAACTTCAGGCAAGATTACTCCAGCCCATCCTCCCTTTTGCTCTCTCTTTCTGTTTTCAGCTCACATAGAAAAGCCTTTTTTGGTATTTAAGCTCAATTTTTTTTATTGTGGGACAGTGGAGGCTGTTTATTAGCCCCATAAAAACTATTTGTCTCCATTTCCTCTCTTAAAAGGTAACATTCCAGCATTTCCCTCTCTCCTTTCCCTTCTTTCTCTTAGCCAGGGCTCCATTGCTCAGGGTTAGAATACGCAGTCAACTATATCTGTCCCAGAAAGGGACTGTAGAACACTGTCTATTTGATGCAGTCGAGGCTAGGCTGTAAGAGTGAGAGTAAAATGCTGATGGAACAGGTTTGGAGAAAGCTGTGATGACAAGAATTATTAGTTCTGCTTAATGACTTTCCCTCCAGCCGATGAGATTTGAATGTGAGACATTAGCACTTGTGACCAGGTAATAGAGGTACTGAGATTGTCCTGAGTGAGTTACAGAGACGGGCGAGGTGTTAAACAGAGATATCCTATTCTTGAATTCTGGAAAGAGAAGTGGCATGCTGTCAAGAGAATAGTTCTGTTTGGCAGTGGGAAAATGCATCAGAGGGAAGGTCACGTCCTCTACTGTTGAGAAAATCTGAAGTGTATGCCAGCTAGGGTTAAAATTGCTGCCTCACAGGAAGTAGCACTCTGTGCAGCCACCAATTAGAGCTGCCCTTCCTGGATCCTTTTAGTATTTTAGGATTGATAAACAGGTATGAATAAAAAATGAGCAAACCCATGCAAGGTAAAATTAAGGAGAAAAA